AACTTTTACCTCTAAAACTCTCTTTATCTCGGGTGAATACGAGGTCCAGACAATGCGAACGTTGTCCTTTCCTAACACCTGTTCCGACTTATACATTCTGGTAAAGTAATTTTCCGTTGCCATCTCAGGCAAACGATGACCGAATGTATCCGGTGAACCCAAAGCAGTCAAATTTTTCCAGTCGATATTGGAAGCATTAAATTCTCCAACAATAAAGTGATGTTTGTTCAAGCAAGCTTTGTTCAGTTCAATCAGGGCAAGGAAATCTCGTTCGGAAACTTGGTTTGGGGGATGGTTCACAACTGTGAAGCCCAGTGACCACGTGTATTTAGTTGAGCTATGAAGGGACGAAACGTCAACTTCTGCTGTCATGGCATGTAACTTGGAAACTGTGGCTATATTTGAGTGAACTTAAACAGCAATTCCTCCTCCGCGATTTCACCTGTCTCTTCTAAACATTTTATAACCACTGAGGGATGCCTCTTGAACTCGGATATCTTCTTAGCGCTATGTTTCTGTTAGTGTAATAACATAGAGGGTTCGTTAAACAATGAGGGTCAGAAGCTCGTGCATTTTATTGAACAGTTACGTCGAGTACAAACCTGTGTTGTTCTTCTCCTTAGGTAATCTTTCATTGTCTCGGTTACCTTTGCTAATCGTCGCGTTGGGGAGACCTGGCCTTCATTGTAAATAAATAAATTGTGATGGGTGTTTCCCAAAAATATGACTTGTTTATTTTCTCAACGCTCAACAGCGATGATTTCAGCAAAATTCCGAATTGCCTAGTTCACTTTGGCGCGAGTTTGCCATTAATACTTTGCCGGAGCCAACAAAAGTATTGGCTGCTTCCAGAGCAATATCTTATTTTCCGTATTAATCGTCCCCTGAAGATAGCCAGATGACTCTCCACAACTGTTATTCTCCGCTTCAGTATGGGCAGAAGGACATAACCGACGAAGGCAAGGCAGACTAGAATGGCCATTTCTGGCTGATTAGCCATTATCGGCCAGTCATAACGAGGCACAAATATGTATATTGGCAACTCACCCGAGGTACGAAGCCGCGGTCTTCTTAGTTAGAAGTCAAACGCTCTCGCCACTACGCTACAGGCTAGTTATCGTGCCAGTTTTTGAGCAGGAATATACACTGACAGATAGGCTTACACCGACCAGTAACAGGACACACCCATCCCTCCTGGTGCTTTTGGAGCTCATTCTCGAGCCATGCTGCAA